TGTCCTTGTTGGGTCATTGTTTATTGTCACCCAGTGTTGCAGTTTGTTCTCGTGTCTTCAGCCTTACTCGCCGTGTCTCCCTGTTACCCTGCTCAGTTTTGGATTCTGGTTTTCACCCTTTTGGATTTCTGTTGGACAGCCTTTGTTTTTGGACTCAGTCAATCAGCCACTCTGTTTGTAAGTGTGCTCGTCTTTTGTTTTAAAACCCTTCTGAACTGTTCCTGCTGGCCCCGCTGACTCCTGTTCCCTCGTCGGTGGTCCGACCAACACCAGCTCCTTGTGTTGGCCTCCTGCTCGGCCCCCAGTGAGTTTGCTGCCAACCCCTTGAACTCTGTTGCCCCCTTGATCTCATTTTGGTTAATGAAGCAAAATGCAGATAACAGACTAGATAAGTAATGAAGGTATGAATGGTAAATTTAACGAGTAGTAGATTTCTGGCTCAAAGAAAATAGACTAAAGAGTATAGCAGGCTACAGTTAAAAAAAGAACAGGAAAAGTAGCTAAACTTTTTTTTATTTTACTCATTTGCGTTACTTGTAATAACTTATAGGCTACTATCCACCCCTGCTCCTCACTGCGGTCTGCAGGTATAAGTAACAACAGTACAACAGAAACGTCTGTAATATTGAGGCACTTTGCTGCACCTGACTCAAACTTACTTTTATTTTCTCCCTCAAATTTTCAGCACCACATTCGCGTTGGGTGGCCTGTTTTTTTTCCACATTTCAGACTTTTTAATGTTAAGATGAAACCATCTTAATGTCTCGTTGCTGCTGTTTACATTCAACCCCGACGCAAATTCAAAAAATGCACAGCGGAATGTTTGGGGTGGATACGTGCAGCCATAAATAGATTGTTTTCTTTAAAATTTTATATCTTACAATATTTATTTATTACATGGCAGTCTTCTTGTTGGGTCGGATTGTGGTTCCTTGGGTCACCAAAGCACCTGGTCGCCTCATCAGATCTGCACTGGGACATGATAGCGCCAGTTCACCCAGGGTTGACCAAGCAGAACCTGTGGTCTATCAGTATCACCGAGAGACATGGTTCCACCTCCAGTCCAGACAAAACCCAGAGTCAGAAGCTGTAGACATCTTAGACATCCTATCTCAACAATGGCAGCACCTCTATAGGCTTAGACTGTTTGAGTAAGGAAACCCGAGGGCAGAACAACCCATCTATTATTCACAAGTGTCAGTCTGTCAGCGAGAGGCTAAAGCTTTCTCCCCACCTGCCTGCACATCAGCAGAACCTGTGGTCCATCAATCAGCAACAGACGTGGTTCCACCTCCAGTCCTGACAGAAGTCAGAGGCAGAAGCGGTACAGACAAACATGACGTAGAGACACAACACCCTGCAGGCAGAGGGTCAGAGAGAATCACCGAGAAAAAACTCACAGCTCGAGAAAAAATTGCAGCCATATTTTCTATGGCTCAAGCAAAAATTTAAGCTCTTTTCGCTGCAGTCCTAGAAAAATTTGCAATTTATTTTTCAAGGATCAGAGAAATAGTGGCTGCTGTTTGTTTTGCCTTTAAGGCAAAAAACTGCTCACTCAATCGGAGAAAAACATTCCTAACTGGAAAGAGATGCAATTGCTGCTGTTTTTCCTGCCACCAGAACGAGAATGTCAGTTTTTTTTTCCAGGATCAGATGGAGAACTGCTGCTGGTTCTTCGAAAACCAGAGCAGAAAATTCTGCTGATTTTTCCACTGTCACAGCGTCATCTCTGGGTGGATCTTTTAAAACCAGAGACAGAACTGTGGCTGAGATATCCAAAACCAAGACCTGCAGTAATAGTAGTTTTTATGATAATAGTTTTTCTGTGTATGATTTATGATCTATATTTGACTTCACATCTGATATGTTGGCTTTAATCTGTGCCTGTATAATATTGATAAAGCTCAGCTTTGATTGGTCCAGCTTGAGACTCCATGCAGATCTCAACCACCTGAGATGAATGTGTTTGTTTACATATTGTTTATTCTGCTCTGTGATGATTTGACAATGTCTGTTTGTTAATAAAAGACGTCATTATACCCTCACGTTTGTTTTCCCTTATTTGCCTTGGTCTCTGAGCTGCCGTAACACTCAGTGGTGATTTCTGACTTTATTCAGGTTCAGATCAGACAGTAAATGTTGGTTAACAATTCCAGTTAGCCCATTTATAACAGGTTGGCTATCACATTTATTTTTGAGTGTGATCATTTGTTTTTTAGGCTCTAGGGAGGAAAGGATGGATTACCAATAAAGTGTCTTTCTACTGACATTAATGTAAACCAGAGGACGACATGTTATAACCTTGGTAAACTTCTGACTTTTCTTGTAGCACCAGCAGCAGGTCGAAGCTGTCCTGTGAACTTCCTAAATCTAGTGGACACAAACATTCAGACATTCACCACTTCCAGACAATGAACCTGAATCACTTTTCTTCTAGCACCAACTGCGTTGTCCCTATAAGGAAAAGTACATTCAGTCAAACAACTTTTCAGTTGGGGCTCTTCTGGTGGAATCTTAACCCAGTTCACATTAGAAATTTTAAAACTTTGGTGCCTCTTTTAAACTTTACTCAAAGAAGTGACTAACAGGTGGTCAGCACTGTCAACATTAGGTCTAGACACTAAATCTTGCCCCTAACTCGTCTCATCTGCTCTGCTTGTTTGTACTTCGTGTGCCTATGAGGTCATCTTGTTCAATATTGTTTAGATAAGCGTGACGACCCTGTGGTTGTCTGTTGTGTTGTGCTGGTTTGGTGTTTGTGAGTTCTGGGCGGAGCCAAGGCCAGGGTTGTCAGGAGATGTGGCTCACCTGTTCAGCCTGACTTAGAAGTATTTAAGATGGCTGCCAACTCTGCCCAGGCTCTCTTTTGTTTCCCACAGCACCAGGCATCAACCCTGGGACACGCCAGCTCTTCATATTTGATTTATGATGTAGCCTTTCTTTTTGCACTCACTACATTTTACACTCACCTATACACACACACACAGACACTCCTGATAATACTGATTTTCATGTTTGCCTTGAAGTTTATGTTTAGTTGATACAATAAAACCATTAATTACCATAAAACCTCAAGCCTAGTCCCAATTAGACACCTGTCCCTGGCCTGGTGTGGCTACAGGTTTTGAACCTTTAGCTTCCTCAGAGTATCAATGTTTCTACACAATTCTTCAATCACTGCAGTTCAGAGCAACATGAGGAGACTGTGATAACTGGAAATAAAAACTAAACACTCTTGTGTCTTGTGTTAGGAAAAAACACCCACCTGAAGTCCCCCATGATTGTAAATTACAGACCTCATCAGACATGAACTATTGTCCTCTCCGCTCTGTTTTGGCAGCAGAAACAGTCTCAAGCCCCATTGAAAAACCCCTCCTCTCCTGTTTTAACATTACTTGCACTGGCAGTGATTATTATCCCGTCTGGAGAATGTGTGTGTGTCATGTGTCACCATCATCCCCCTAATAATTACAGCTGCAACTGTTTTTCAGCCAAGGTAATTTAAATCAAGAAGCAAGAAATACTCAATCTAAACTAAAGACATATATAATAATTCCCAAAATATGTATAGCCTTATTTTTAAGGCATATTATGTGATCATATTGTTTACATTTCACTTTATTGACTATCACTGTTTGCTGTTGGTAAAACCACATTTTCCTGTATCTGCATTTTTCATAGTCATTCTGATTATGTTGCATGTGATTAAAACCTCCGTCATTTTCTCTTGAACATACTCGTCCGTCAACGTTATCAGCTAGAGATGTTATCTTTCACACACCCAGTCTTTGCATGATAACTAACTCCTTTTAACCGTAACACAGATCATGGAAAAACAGTTTGGCCTTAAACAACCGCTCACATTCAGGAAGCAGCTTAAAGTTTCTTCTACACCTTTTGACCACATATACACTCACCCCCCGCATCTCACTGTCCTTATCAGACAGGCAGATCTCTTTGCCTTCTCTCTGTCTTAGCTTAGTGCTGTTTAGTTTGTTTCATCTTGTGTGTTGTCGCTTTGTTTACTTTGTAACTAAATGCTTGTGTAGCCCATGTACATGCTGGTTTCTTTTAACCTCTGCTGCGTAGAACCCTAAATCCTTCAAACCACAGCTTATTCATGATAATTTTTTTAGTTATTAATTTAATTATTAACTAAAATTCTAAATTAATAGTTTAGTATATTTAATGAGTCTGAATTAGGTAATCGGCCGTCAATATGAGTTTCACGAGTGGTACCCCGAAGGGATTATAATTTTAAATGATGTTCTATCATCATCATCTAATCATTAATAATAGTAGTAATAATAATAATTATTACATTATTTAATATAAATCTTGATGCCATCTTAACCTTAATCCCCAACATAATGGTGCTGCTGTGAGGCGTAGTACTGCCAACATAATGGTACTCAACAGTGATTTGGTTGTTTTAAAGGTGTTTATCTTTTAAGTTTGGTTCAGTGTGGTAGTGTGGTTCGCCCATGTAGCCTCCAAAGGTTGGGCCATAATAATTATACTTCCCTACATTTCAATTACTAGTTACTTTACAGATTAGGCACAAACATACCAAAACATATGATGACTTAATGAAATATGTTTTGTTAAAAATTTAACTACCCAACATTTTATAGAAGTACATCTGACAGGATTATTAGAATGACATTGAAATTGACATTTCCTGGCTCCAGCTTCACAAAAGTGAAGATTTGCTGCTTTTGTTTTAATTATCTTTATTTATTTGTACAATTTTTAGCTTTGTTCTGTTGGTTAGTGTTACGACCTGTGGGCTGTTCATATGTCTATGGTACAAAACCATAGTACAAAACAAGCATTGTGAAAGTGTGACATTGGGCTCTGCGTAATTGTGATCAGTGCTGCACAATTTTGCATAAATGGTTGATGAAGCTCCAAGATGATGATGATGATGAAGCTTCTCTGAACTTTCTCAGTAAAAATGGCCTGTATAACTGAGCTTCCTCACTGAAACACAATTCAAAACAACTATAAAAAGAAGTCTATTTATTTTAGTTTTTACATAAAAATATTGTTACATGAATAATAAATGCAAATAATTTAATGTATACAGGACAACCTTATTCAGAATTTGACATTAGTCATTGTTTTGTCTTTTTAAACATAAAACCAGAATACTTTTTCAGTGGTTCAGTACAGTACAAGTATTATTAAATAAACCACATAAGCATCATGTTATACTAGTTAGGATATGATATAAAATAAAATACAAGATGTTAAAAGTAAGATAAAATATATATATATCCTTCCCAGTCATGTTGACAAGCACATATTGTGGCTCCTCTTCTTCATTCCAGCACCAGATGATCAGAAGCTCTTGTTTTAGCAGCAGCTCGAGCTGCAGGAAAACCAGAGAAGAGAAAGTCTTAAGTGGAGTCATTTTAATTTTAGTATTTAATTCCACATAAGCAGCGTTACAGAACAATGATGACCATCTTTTTATTCTTGGCCTCATCATCTTTCACTTCCTGCTCTCTACCACTGTTGCTGTGCTGCAGCTCTGTTGCTGCTCACTTCCCGTCGTTTACCAAGAAGCGAGGTTTGCGGTTAAGCTGGCGCACTTTGAGCTGGTTTTTCTGTTTCCTAAGTAGGGTGGATTTTTATTGAGGTCACCGTGGCAACCAGTACTGCTCATCTGCTCGTGGGTAAACCTCAGAACGACTACTGGCCAATCAGCTCACTGTAAAAACTCAGTCATCATTCCTAGAGGATCCTGACCGGGACTAAAGTGCTGATAATAAAGTGAATAAGATCAACAGATAAATTTATAGGTCAGTACAGAAAGACGCTTTTAGTTTATTACATTCACAACAAGATTTGATGTTTTGTGTCGATGTTTTTACAAACTTTTTCCATCACTGCCGCTCAGAACAACACGAGGAGACTCTGTGAAGATAACTGGAAATAAAAACTAAACAAACTGTTGTCGTTTGTTAAAAAAGTAACTGTTAATTATCTCCCATGATAGGTCAGTTAAATCACCAGGTTAGGTTCTCCAGTCAGTGCCACTTACGACGGCACTGGCTTAGATCTGGAGTTGGTCCCCGGGCGCTGCTCACTGCTCCCATTACTTGGGATGGGTTACATGCAGAGATCGAAATTCACCATCTGACAATAAAGTACCATACCTTGCTTCTCCAGACTCTCCGTGTTTAAAACACTTTGTTTCTTTTATTCAACTTCTCCTGTAATTTAAACTTAATTTAAAAAAGCAAGAAATACTCTCTTTAAACAAAAGATTACTGTATATAATAACACCAACATTAATTATAGCCTTATTTATAAGGCTGATTATGTGATCATATTGTTCACATTTCACCTCATAGAATTTACTACCACATTTTTCTTGTGGGTATCGCCCACGATATCTCATATTGCCCTGATGACGTTGTTTGTGATTAAAACCTTTGCCTCTTTCTCATGAACCCGCTTGTAGCTGAATTGTAAGAACCCAGAGTTAACAGAGCCAGTGATAGCACTTATCCAGGACCACCAAGGTTCAGTGAAGCCAGGAAACCCAAAGAGAGACAGACTAAGCTGAAAGTGCTTCATGATACAGGCCACAGCCCACGTGACCCCCCAATAGACATCACACTACATGCAAAGTAATGTTTAAAAAGTCTAGCAAAAATGTTTTTGTAGAATTTGAACCCCAAATGCTGAACAGCTAACAATGTTTCTAAAGTTAAGTAATATTCAAATTCCTAATTTTAGGCCCCACACTTTGGATTCATGATTATATGTTCTGAAAAGGTTTAAGAGATGAAAATGACAAACCTAACTAATTATATTTATATAAGGTGGTGGTGATGGCACAATGGATAAGATGCCTGCCTTTGGTGTTCTAGTTGCTCCAGAGGCATGCGACCTCTGACATGTATAGCAATTGTAAGTTGCTTTGGATAAAAGCGTCAGCTAAATGAGTAAATGTAATATTTATAGTTAATGACAACAAATTGAGGATTTAACTAGACTCACTAAATGATCTTGAAATATGTCTTTGTGTCTCTATCAGCCATTTGATGACCTCTGACTTGTGGATGAGACAGATCAATATTCTGCTATTATTAGGATTTCCAGAGGTGTTCTTACCTCTTGCATACCTTCGGTACATGTATATGCACATTATGAGTATGGCAGTGTAGAAGATGAACAACAGGATGGAACACGCTAGTTTAGAAAGAGAAAGGGGAGGAGGTGGAGGTGTGGCAGGGACTCCTGGAGGCCGAGCTGTGAAGAAAACAACCATCAGAGTTTACAACAGGAAACATAATCAGTTCTGTTTTCATCCAAATATAACACAGACTTTTCAGAACAAAACTAAATCTAACAAAAGCACAACATGAAGAAAGTCAGGACAAAATCACATTGTGCAAACGTGAGAATTTGGAATCGTTATATTAAATTAAGTAATTCAAGAAAATCAAGAAAAGATTTGTGGAGACAAAAATTTTGACTGCTATGACCTGCAAGACGAGAGACAGCAGAAGGCGTCAGTAGGCTACATTTTGGTTGCCTTCTTAGCTTGTCGTACTATTAGAAATGAATCAGTAAAGTAGTAAAGGTTAACAAAATATCATGGGTACGGACTAAACCAAGCTATGATAACTTAAGTAGATTTGTGTTTAACTACTAAACTAAAATTACTAAAAATTAGTAATTTAATTTTAAATCACAGTCAAATTAGGTTTTCTGTTTCTTTTTGGAAACTTTGTGTCACCTCTCACAGACAGCCAGCTCTGCAGTGATTCTCCTTTTGTGGGGAGTTCGCACTTGTAGAAGCCTTCGTCAGACTCGAACACCGCGGGGAGGATCATCATCCCTGCAGGCTCATTTCCGATGAAAACACCATTTCTGTAGAACGTAGCAGGGAAATCTGACGTAGATTCAATTTGCTCTTTTTCCTTGTAGGAACAGTTAAGCGTCACTTTGTCTCCCTCCGTCACAGGAAGTGCAGGGCTCTCCAGGATCACAACACCAGCTGAAATGTAGAAGAATATCTGACTATAGTTTACAAAGTCTGTTTAATTGCAAAAACAAGAAATAAGCAGAAAATAAACACAAACATGCTCCACACACATTTAGTATTACCTGTCACTGTGATGTTGACGGTGTTGCTGTACTCCCCCTGCTCAGACTCACACCAGTACACTCCGTTGTCTGATGGGTCAGCATATTTTATGGTGCAGGAGGACTCACCTGGGATCCCCCATCCCTCATCACATGGTTCAGACATGCTAAAGGAGGTGTTTCTTCTCACTGTCCAGCCGCTGGAGTCTGCCGGTGGTGCACACATCAGAGAGATGTACTCATGCTGAAAGAACTGAGATCTGTTGGGAGTGATGCTCAGTGTGGCTGCAGAGGAGGTCAAACCTGAAATAATGGGGAATGGATTTAAATTATTTCTGTGTATGCAGCTGATCACATGTGTTAATTTACAGATACTGCTGTGGTTAATTGCTGTTAAGGTGGTAAAATTTAAAGCTGCATTAATGAAGAACTCTGCAGCTCTGCAGCGCTTGTTAACGTCTTCTGGGGAATCATTTTGGTTTTGCAGCACATTAAAATTGTCGTGTGACTGTGCTCTCAACTACCTTACTCCCAGCTGCAACAGTCGGTTGTTTAAAGCAATTGAGCCATGATAAATCCACTGTCCTGCATTAAATGGCAGATAGACATGATGACAGAGTCTACCTGGTGAAGCAAGTTAAACCTATAGTGGCCAAAGAACCAGACATCTTTCTTATGAGTTAGTGGAGACCAAACCAAAGCTAAAAAGGAGGGTGAATATTGGACTTATTTTAACATCAATGAGTTGATAATTTTGTTCTGTGTCTGCTGGATATGTAAAAGTACAGTTGCATCACAACTCCCATCACTGAAATCAGTCCAACCAGGCATTTGGCAGAGTATAAAAATAAAATTTGTTGTTTTGTATTTTTTTTTAGCAAAAAACACTAAGCATCTTCAATCATGATCTTGGTGTGATTTTTAAGAAAAGGTTTACACAAGTGTTTAAATTACTTACAGAGCATCAGGCAGAGGGACGTGCTCTCCATCTTGTGTCGATGTTGTCAATCTTCCTCTGTCAAGTCTGACTAGGTAGTCTACCACATCCTGACCAAACACAGGAAATCACGAAGGTCACTGCAGAACAAAGCAAACACGACATGATTTTAATCATCAATGTGTGATGAAATTCAACACACTTTGAAGACTAGCTTGAGCTCTAAGTTTTTAAAAGCTATGGAACCAGGCTTAAAGCAGATGCTTTCATTCAATTCCAAAAACAGTCTTTGCAAAGTTATGATTTCATTCAGTGCTGTCACTCGGTGCCACCGAAAGTCTATATAGGACGTGTTTCTCAGTTTGCTGATGATCTTTTACTGGATTTATTCAACTCAGTCCCACTTGATGCTGAAATCCATCTCACCTGTATCACTTGCTTAAGAAACTGAAACTAAACCTTGTGATAATAAAGGTCTATCTCTTACAGAAAACCACAGAATGAAACCTGACGTCAGCCACAAGACAGGCAATATTTACATTTCTGCGGTTATTGTATTTTACTAATTTTATATTTATCTTAAACGTGTATTTAGTCTTTTCAATGTTTTCGTGGTTTTTATGCTTTTAACTTGTATTGTTTTTGTATTATTCTTTACACTTGTTAAAGTACTTTGTAACTTGTTTTTGAAAAGTGCTCTACAAATAAAGATTATTATTATTATTATTATTAATACACGCAACTTGATAAAATATTTCTAGATTTCTTCCTGACTTGTTCCACTGCGGTTGCAGCTGAAATGGAGTTATTCTTATTCCAGTAAGTTTCCTCTTCATCCTCTCGTCAGAGGTTTTTGGACCTTTGACAGCAGAGTTTGGCGGGGTCCAGTTTAATTTATGCGGTTTTCATCATGAGCTGAATGCAGCCCCTGACAGCAGACAACCTCTGCTCTCCCGACCTGCATGATGTGGCTAAAATATTCTGTCTTTGTCTTTGCAGAGCAAATGAAAATAAATGAATGATCAATCGACCAGTAAATCAATTGATGTGATGTGAGTGATTCTTAGCAGAACGTATGTGTAAAATGCCAAATCAATGAAATCAAATGAGTCCTTAAAAATGTAAACTCCCTGAAATGTTTTCATTCCCCCGTCACCGCCTCATGGGAGAAAGAGAAAGCGTTGATTTACTTCTTACTTTCTCTTTCTCCTGTGGTGCAGTGTTTTCCTCGCCACTTTTCACACCGCCCTATGAACAAAAGAACCTTAATCGACTTTTCTTTCATGAAGCATTAAATTAGCTGGGTGGCATCTACCATGTCTCTTCGTTTTCCAGCGACCATAACGAAGTTGGTTCACTCTCTCGTGTTCATGTCCTGTCTCTCTCTGGTGGAATCTCCAGGTAGGTGTTTCTTACGTGAGGTAGACCTAATAGTCAGGCCCTCTACTTGTTGAAAGACGTTTCACTCAGCTGTTCTCGCTCGTTAATAAACCGGATCGCTGCAGCTATTCGACCGGTAGAATTGGGCCACTTAAAAATCAACGTTGCAGTTTCGCTACTGAGATCAGTGCCAGGTCCCGTTTTCTTGAAAAAAGAGAAGCAACTTGAATCGACAAATCGTTTATTGTGTGTTTATGTTTTAATACTCGTTGATAACAGAACCGTAAATCAGTTTTAAAAGCTTCAGTAGGCTAGGCCCTGATTTGTTTATGGGATCTCTGAATCGGATTTATCATGTAGCCTAACTGTTGAACACGTTTGGGCAAAAGTCCTTGCGAAACAACGCAGCTGGTCTGATGAATTTGTTCCGACGGGATTTTCCGTTGTTTGAAAGAGAAGTGACCAGAAGTGGCGTTTTTAGGATCTTGAAACATTGGGGGCGTAGCCCAGCCCATAAAACTTCATATCTTCACATAATAATTGACACCCCCACCCCAAAGTTAAGTCTGTAAAGCAGTAAAGCAACAGTAAACATCCTCTACTTATAGGCTACAGCACAACAAAACTCACAACAACACTATTAACGGTCTCATTTTGATAAATTGTAATGAAATGTGTGTAATTATAATAAAATAACAAAACTGTGACAGTATGGGGGGTACTCTTCCAGAAAATTGTGAGTGTTAAACACTTAATTTCCTGCATTCTGGTGTTTTCCTCCAACAATTTCTGCCTTTTCTGCATCAATTTATTGTGGATATTATTTATGTAAAGGGACACACAAAAATCAGGTGTTGCTGAATTGTGGCAAATATTTAAGAACATTTAGATATTTATGACCTTGTAACTTATTATTTATTTCCATCTTAAATGTGCAATTGTACTACTGCCTGCCTTGGCCAGGACACTGTTGGAAAAAGAGTTTTTTGGTTTAATAAAGGTATAATAAAACAATTTGAAATCTAAAACTGTAACAGAATATAATACAGAGCAGCTCTCAGCTTTCAGATATGTTTCTCCTGTAGATCAACTTTTAATATCATCACTGCTGAATCAACACACATGCAGACGTGACTGATTGAGGTAACCTCTTTAAATGTGCATGTGGCACCTTTTTACCTCTTCAATAATAAATTAAATAATTTTAATTAAGTTATAAACTCCTGTACTTTAATAGCTCCTGTGTTTCAGCAGGTTTTCTGCTCATGTTCAAAGTTCTGCACATTCAGAATCTATCAGGGTTCTCTGACATTTCCAGAATAAAGGATATTTTGAGAGGTCAAACAGAATAAATCATCATAAACTTTCTCAATCACCACCACTAATGTCCTAGGCGATGCTCAACAACAGGACACTCAATATACAGTGGATAGAAAAGGTCTACACACCCCTGTTAAAATTCCAGGTTCTTATGTAAAATAATGAGACAAAGATAAATCATGTCAGAACATTTACTGTGACCTACAATGTGAACAATTCAATTGAAAAACAAATTGAAATCTTTGAGGGGGAAAAATGAATTAAAACCCTCAGATAACCTGGTTACATAAGTGTGCACACCCTTAGACTAATACTTTGTTGAAGCACCTTTTGATTTTATTACAGCACTCAGTCTTTATGGGTAGGAGTCTATTAGCATGGCACATCTTGACATAGCAATATTTGCCCACTCTTCTTCGCAAAAGCGCTCCAAATCTGTCAGATTGCGAGGACATCGCATGTGCACAGCCCTCTTCAGATCACCGCACAGATGTTCAAATGGATTCAGGTCTGGGCTCAAAAATTAATCTTCTTTTGGTGAAGCCATGCTTTTGTGGATTTGGAAGTTTGCTTTGGGTCGTTGTCGTGCTGAAAGGTGAACTTCCTCTTCATCTTTCTAACCAACGCCTGAAGGTTTTGTGCCAAAATTGCCTGGTATTTGGAAGTGTTCATAATTCCCTCCACCCTGACTAAGTCCCCGGTTACAGCTGTAGAAAAACAGCCCCAAAGCATGATGCTGCCACCTCCATGCTTCACTGTGGGTATGCTGTTCCGTGGTTGATGTGCAGTGTTGTTTTTGCGCCAAACACACCTTTTGGAGTTATGGCCAAGAAGTTCTACCTTGGTTTCATCAGACCGTAACATTTTCCCACATGCTTTTGGGGGACTTGATGTTTGTTTTTGCAAACTTCAGCCGTGCTTGGATGTTTTTCTTTGTAAGAAATGGAGATAGTTGTCACATGTATCACACAGCCAGTACTTGCCAGAAATTCCTGCAGTTCCTTTAATGTTGCTGTAGGCCTCTTGGAAGCCTCCCTGACCAGTTTTCTTTTCGTCTTTTCATCAACTTTGGAGGGATGTCCAGTTCTTGGTAAAGTCACAGTTGTGCCATATTTTCTCCACTTGATGATGACGGTCTTCACTGTGTTCCATGGTATATCTAATGCTTTGGAAATTCTTTTGTACCCGTCTCCTGATGTCTTTCAACAATGAGATCACTCTGATGCTTTGAAAGCTCTCTGCGGACCATTGCTTTTGCTCGGAGATGCAACTAAGAAAATATCAGGAAAACCCTACTAGAACAGGTGAACTTTATTTGTGATTAACCAGAGTCACTTTAAATGATGGCAGGTGTGTAATGACTTCTAGTTAACCTGAGTTTGAATGCGATTGGTTAATTCTGACCACAGCCACATCCCAAGTTATAAGAGGGTGTGCACACTAATGCAACCAGGTTATTTGAGGGTTTTTATAAAAGTTCTGACATGATTTATCTTTGTCTCATTATTTTACATCATAAGAACCTGGCATTTTAACAGGGGTGTGTAGACTTTTTCTATTCACTGTATCTCAGTCAATGCAGTGATCGTCTGACATAGATGTTACAGTGTGTAGTCTTCATTTGCTCTGCAGAGACTAAAGACGCTTTTAATGTGCCGTTAATGGAAAGTGTTTAACTTGCCGACTTGTTAAAGAAAAGAAAATCCAGACAATTTAATGTAAGCTCAGCTCACAGCTTCAGGGGAGCAGAGAGGAGAGACACGAGCTACAGCTGGATCATCTTATTCTCCGCTAATTTGCAGGACAATAAATAATAACAATAATCTCTCTCAGTCCCGCGCACGTAAAGTTAGTTAAACGAGTAGCCGAAGGTTCAATTTTCGGCCTTTCAAAAACATCCCTGGCGACGCCGCTGGAAGTGACTAATCTTTGAAAGCGGAAGTGATTTTAATTTTCACCTCTTTTTTCCAGCACTTAGCCTACTGTAAAATGCGTCTTGTTAATGTCGTGGGCCTATGCTGTTTTTTGCACAAAGCTCAACATTTTACTTCTCAGAATATAAGAACGTTATAATAATATATAGCCTATAAACAGAGGGGGAAGAAGTCCTGTATTCGAAATCCTACTCAAGTAAAAGCTCAAAAGTATTATCAGTAAAATGTGCATTAAATGTCTAAGTAAAATTATTTATTTTTTGTAGAAAATCTCCTGTTATTCATAGCCTACAGACCTATGATTGTATTTATTATAATATAATAATAATACTAATACTGATGCATCATTATTGTTGAAGCTGCTTGAGGTGGAACTAATTATACTGTCAAAATAGGTTGTTTTTCAATGCCTCTCAAAACGTCTTCGTAAAGGACATAGTCTAATTCACCACTGAAGTCACTCCCTCGACTGGCGTACTAAAGAAACCTTCAAAATGGGGACGGGTAGGGGGGTGGCTGGGATGAAACTGCTTGGTTAGGTATAGGGAAACATCTGGTTTGAATTACAATAAGTGCATGACGTCAGTCACGTAAATCATGACTAACTCTGTCAGTTAAGCTATTTCACAAGTCAACGTTGACTTGTTTGCATATGGGTGTCCTGTGTGAAAGTGCTCCTGTTTGACACATCTATCCTCTCCATCCACCTCCTCGTGCAGACTTCCTTGCTCTTCATACTGCATCACCTGACTTCCTCCTTTGCTACATCCACGACCACTAGAGGTAGTCGCCGCCTTGCAATAAACGTAAATCATAATAAGATGCTGCACAATCGACAGCAGTTTTTCTGTTGAGGATGGTCTGAATACACAGTAAGCTACTTTTAGCCAGTGGCTCCTAACCTAGGGGTCAGGGACCTCCAAAGGGTCTCCAGTGATTAGGCGTCATCTTTAAGTCCAGTGTCCAGTTCTTATAGTACAGCCAAAATCTCAGCGTGCCAACTCCTAATATTCGTAATGGAAATTAAATAATTCACTTCTTCTTTTCTCCATTGGATGAAACTTGGCTACAGTTATAATAGGCATGTATACTGTGTGCTAATAAAATACTTAAAAATAAGTTGCTCAGCCATCCTAGTTTTAATTATTAGAGAAATTGTTCAGTGATCCAGCAACAGGAAGTCTAACTGCTATGTTTGTTTCCACAGAAATTCAAGCAGTAATCGGAATGACGTCATTCTACCATGCCACACCGTGTTTGACAAGAACAATTCAAAAGTGACGTGGAAACACAGTGGCCAGATTGTGCACACATATCAGTATGGGAAGGACTATCTAACTAATCAGCACACTAACTTCAAAAATAGAACATCTCTCTTCCATGATGAAATGACCAGAGGAAACCTTTCACTAAAACTGACCAATGTCACTGAACGGGATGCAGGAAGTTACAGCTGCGAGGTCCCAGAACATCCAAACATCTCATTACCCTCGTTGTTGGTGAGTACAGCTAACCTAATACACATTAAAATGACATAAGAGAAAACATTACATATTTGTAATGTGTTAAAAGTATTTTAGCACTTAAACACAACGTACGCATTTACAAGTTAACAACGTTTTTCAACAGCCAAAAATCCAGAACCCACCAAAGGTCCGCCTCATGTTGACAGCAAGTAAATATCTTGACTTTTATTATTTGTAACCCCCGACAGCCACTCATCTATTTTTCCTGTGGGCCAGAATTTTATCACATACCTTAATATTTTATTTAATTGTTCCTGTCATGAAAATTGTATTCCTGGTGAGAGGTTGAGCAAATAATTGAGTTACAACAAACTGTTGTCTTTGAAGAATTAATTTAACAAAAGAGAATAAACAGAGAAGTACTACAACA